ACACCAAAAGTTATAATTTTCAGAACATTAAAAACATTCACATATTTATTTTAATTTTATACAAGTAGTTGAAAATTGTTGGGGCAGCTATCTTTTTCTTTTCAGTGTAAAATTTTGTTTTACCTTCGGTCGCCCCTTTGGACAAACTCTGTCAAAGTTAACCTTCCCAAAGGAACTAATACTATTTTCAGTTTCAATTTTTTCTAAATTATTTGCAGCAACTGTTTCCTCATGGAAAAAATGAATGTCATTTATAAAAAATCAATTAGTTGACTTTGAATGAAACTTGTTTGTAGTTCACCTTCATCAAGTTGTGACGCCTATTCATTCTCATCTAAATTTTCAGGACTTTTCCTGAGACTTATAGTAGTTTCAAGAAAGGATATTTTCTCTACAAAATCTTGTTCTCCTTGAATCGCCAAAAAATTTGCCAAGACCATACAAATTCTTTTAGCATGATTAAACCTACCCACTTGAGTCTTAAAATTATTGTTTCTAGTAATAGTAGATACAATTTGAGAAGTTACTGAACCACTAGAAGTAGAAGCAACCACTCTAGGAACACTATGTTTGCTAAAACGGCATGGAATTAACTCTGAACAAAATTCTGGAAGCTGTAAATGTCTTCGAACTGAAAAAATATGTCTGCAAGGTAATGCCATCTTTTTAGCAAATGAACAATTACATTGAACTGATGTTGAGCTAAAAATACGTTCCTTATAAGCTACTGAAAAAAGTTCTGCCTCTCCAGGGACAACAGAGTACGGAACAGATCGTGACAATTTGAGCTGATTGAGCAATAGAGCAGCAGCAAAGGAAGTAGCAACACTTTCAATCTTATTTACACTTTCATCATTATCAGATGACGTATACTGAGCTGTGTTTGCAGCAAGCAATCTTAAACGATCACATACTGTAATTTTGCAGTTGTCAAAAGACATAAGGTTACGAAGAGCAGATGAAAAAGAAAGATAATGAGTCAAACTCTTTTTTATTTTGGCATGATAAGACTCCAAGTGATTTGTTGTTGTCGCATGGAGTCTTAAAACATCAGCATTGGATGATGCTGCCCATAAATGGGCCTTACTCCACCAGTTTGACTCAAAATACTCCAAAGCTACATCAGGAAGAGTATCTTTCATGTCTTGCATTAACTTTAAAAATTCATCACACGACTCAGTATAAACTTGAGACATAAATCCTTCAAGAATTGGCTTAACATGCTCAGGACCTACATGTTTCGAAAGAAACCTGTGCACAGCCTGGTTAATGTGAAAATGACATAGATTAACAGGTACATTTGGAAAGAGATCATTTATAGCAGAGATTTCAGCCATGTCTTTGTCAACCACAAAGCACTTGAAAAGACTGGCATCAGAATTCTTCAGAAGAAGCTGCAAACAAAGAGAAATAGATTCCTTATCTTCATTTTTTACAAAACCATGAAGAACAGGAATGCCCCTGCCCTCTCCATCAATAACCATGACAGTCAAAAGTGGATATAAATATTTATTGGTTTTATATGTGAAATCCATTAATAAAACCTCTGGATATTGGGCAATAATTCTAATCATATCATCAGTCATGTATGATAAATACTTAAATTCCCTACTTTCTGTTAGTCCATAGGACACACTTCCACCAGCTTGTGATATAGAATGAAGTATAGATTGAGTTTCAGTTGCATCAGAATATGATTTATTTATTCTTGACTTAATATCGTAAATATCCCTGGGAAGCAAATCCAAATTATGCTGTTGTTCAAGCACTTGCCGGGCATAGGTGCCTGAATTGTGGTGCAGGACATCAACAGAAGCGTTGCCACATTTAGTTCCACCTTGCAGTTTTCCGGATACAAGCGGAACATCTGAAAAAAAAACACACAAAGGTTACTTTGCAATAATAAGTATTATGTAAAAAAATATGCCCTGCAAACATTATTATTATTAGTATTAGTGGTCTTATAAAATGTTCCCTTTATGCTGTGCTGCCGCGCAGCAGTTTTGCATATCCGCGCAGAAAATTTCCCTGTAGGTGTGTGTTTGTGTTTCTGGACTTTAAAATTTTGCACACAAAAAAATTGATGCTGTAAAACTTTGCACATAACTGTATGATTTTCCATACAAACCAACAAACCTTAGAGGGAACATTGGTTTTATATAGCCCGGTACCCCAGCCTAACTAACCTTCAACTTGGGGATAAATGTTTTAAAATTATTATTTTAAGTCACAATAATCAAAATTAAGATATAAAACTCTGTTTGGACTATTTAGAATTTATTAAATTTCATTATACTGTTAAATAGATTTGTCTTAATTTTTTTTCAAAACCTTTCTTTTCTATGGTAAGGGTGGTAACCCTAACCTTAACCTAAAGTTTTCAGTGATAAAATTTCTGAGCACCCTAGATTGAATGGGTTAATGAATGGTACAAAACATTCTTTTAAAATGCATCCATCTCTAATACTATAGTACCTGTAGTACCTGCCACAAGAATATGCTATTTATTATTATTATGTAAATATTTTTCGCAGCACATGCACTTACTTGTTCATGCATTGATTTGGTAATTTCTAGCCAAGATGGATTTCTCTTGGCAACAAGCTTTATCTTTGCCTGGCATCCCAATTTGAAAGAACTGAAAAATATAAAAATTCTCAACGAATTGCCAAAAGCCAAAAGTGGTAAGGGCTAATGTGGAGCACGAATGCCATGGCGTCATTTGCTTCTTTATTATAGTTGCAGTGAATTAGGGTTTAGGTTAGGTTGAGGGGTCGATTTAGGCTTAGGCAGGGTTCAGGTTAAAAAAAGGCATAGGCATCGATTTAGGGATACATTTAGTCGCGGCCATCGATAAAATAGTGGCATTCGTCCTCTACATTTACCGTGGTAATAATCATTGGCTTGGAGAAATAATTATTACATGACAAGAACAACTAAATTTAAAGTTAACCTATTATTATTACTAATATTACTTACGCTTGTGATTTTCTTTGGCCTGTTATCGTTGAAGACTTTGACTTGCGTTTAACTTGCGTTGCAACAGTGAATTATATATTCATATTTAAGGTGTTCCAAATTGGGATCTTTCATCTTCTCTGACGATCTTTTAGTGAAACACACATTGAGTTCTTTACAAAAATAATTCAATTCGTCTTCAAAAGACGTATAGGTGTCAAAAATGCTGCCAACCTCCATTTTTATAAAAGAAAGCGCGGCAGACTTGTCGATTATTAAGCCTCTCGTTCGGGTCATTTTTTTTTCTCGATTACTAAGACTTTCGGGTGCGAATAGTCATTGACGACGATGGGTACTCGGGTACCTATAGCCACTTCGTTATTATTAAGCCTCTCGTTCGGATCATTTTTTTTATCGATTACTAAGACTTTCGGGTGCGAATAGTCTTTGGCGACGACGGGTACTCGGGTACCTATAGCCACTTCGTTTTACAAAATTAAAGGGTGAAAATTTAGGCACAGATTGTTAAGGACTTTTTAAAAAAAAGCTCTATAATTTTGTAAATTAATGAGGCACAAATGGTATGCGTAAATAAAACAATATAGGTTCAGCTTTAATAAGTATTATACAGAATATAAGTGTACACGTTTCGACAAATGCCTTCTTAATCAGTACACAAAAATTTAAAAAAAACATTCAAATAAGTTTATATTAAATTTACATAGCATATTTATATTTACTTGTATCCTACCTCAAGGATAAAAGAAACGAATAAGAGTGGGCGCAAGTGTTTACCTTGGGGATCAGCAAGCATTATTAATTTACTTGAATTGTTTATCACAGTCCAACGCCCTTATATAAGTTTGTAACTTTTATTGTCAAGTTTTACATTTATGTCACCCATTTATGGAAGGCGGGAACGCACAGGCAAAGCATTATAGTTATAGTAAACAGTGGCGTAACTAAGGGGTGCGGACCGCACCGGGTGACCACTAACTCAAGCTACGCCACTGGTGGTTAACACTCCACTGCAGATGTCAAAAGAAAACCATTTTAATTCGTCTTTGCTATAACGCATTGTCGGATTAAAAGGCGTTAGTGCCCTGGGCACAACCAAACCTGGAGATCATAGTTACCTGTGCGTTTTGATTAGGTTTAGACTGTCCAGCAGATAAGCCAGTGAGCGAGACCATTGAGCATCAGGGGGAAAAGGTGGAATATACATAACGATGACAATTACTACTATAAACCAAACAGAGGCTCGAAACAGCCTTTCAAATTTATAAAGTTATTTCGAAACAACGATCCATAGAGACAATTTTAAATTCAAGTCTGTTGCTATGTTTTTTAATGAAGTGAGGCTGTAAATCACGATCCGCTTCGGGAGCGTCAAAATTTAAGTTACGCCACTGATCTAGACGCTCTTGTGGCACCCGGTTCCTGTTTTGTCTTGTACCACTCTGTCCTTGTAGCACGCTGTCTATTGGCACCCGCCTCCTCTTGTATTAAACTTTGAATTGTTATGAATCAGATTCGAGCGAGCTCTGTTAAAATGGCTTTATAACCCCCTTTATGGGGTTCTCACACAGTACGGCTTGTACCTCCCCCCCCCTAGTGACGCCCCCTGCCCCCCCCCCCCCCCCCCAGTTATGAATCAGATTCGAGCGAGCTCTGTTAAAATGGCTTTATAACCCCCTTTATGGGGTTCTCACACAGTACGGCTTGTACCTCCCCACCCCTAGTGACGCCCCCCCCCCCCCCCCCCCCCCCCCCCCCGTTAGAAGACCCCCTTTTTGTAGTGGAACGCACTTTCCATATAATTCTCATGGCACCTTTAATTCTATACATATCCAATCAGAAAATTCGTAAAGCTATCAATAAGTATGTCATTTTAAAAGTTTAACATTTTCAAAATTAAATTATAATCTTTTTGATAGATTAATATTTGGGACTGAAAGAAATTTGTTAAATAGATTTGTTTTGTAAAATTTAATACGGAGGCAATCTTGCTTTTACAATCTTCCCAATTAGCATGTAGATTTCCTTTTCCGCTAAGGTCGCCATCATGGTAAGACGGCATGCCTTGAATTACAGTTGAACTATTAGAATTAATTTGTTCTTCTGAATGCAATAAAGTCTAATTTATATAAATTCGTTTGAAATATAAATTAAATACTTATTTTATTTGATCATAACGAGTGCTATAATGTATTTTTGTACACATAACCGTAGCCTACATGTATACTACTAGTCACTAGTACTAGTCCCACTCACTGTGAACTGTGCTATTACAAATTACTGTCAATGGCCGTCAAGTCTTGACTGTGAGGCCCTAACCTTTTTAATTTCAACAGTGTAAATATTTCTGTTAACTCGGAAATACTGATCAGTAAGCTACTAAACAAAACATTACATTTTCTAAAAATTAATATCTATTACCGGTATATACCGTATTTATTGGCGTATAACGTGCACTATTTTCTCCCCAAAAAGAGGGCAAATTATGTGTGCGTGTTATACGCAGATAAAATGTTACGTTTTTTTTCCTGAAATTTCCTTCTTAAATTGAGGGGTGTGTTATATGCAGGGGCATGTTATACGCCAATAAATACGGTAATTATGATTATTTCCAATGAGTTACTTCAGTTACTGAGTCAGCATTTGACATTGATTTTGATTTAAATTTCATTCTGTTCTTTAGTTTTACTTCTTGGCCCAATGAATTAAGCTGTGGCTAAAATAGTAATATACTTTGTATTTACAAAGTAAAGCCTGTCTAAATCTGTTTTGCGTGGGTCCTCTGTTCCATGTGATATCTGGTCAGAGCTAAAATGTAGTTAGCGACAGGGCCGGCAATGTCTGTTACAGGGTGTATGTCATGTCATTTGATAGGCTTTTTTCTATTTTTTTATTGGGGGGGGGGGGGGGGGGGGGGTTTCCCCCGCAACCCAGAAATTATCTTGTATATTATTTTTATGTTGAAATTGGAGGGAGGGGACAATTCAACATGCTTTTCTTGGTAGGGAATACCACCCAACACACTTTCAAGTCAAAGTAGAGACAGGGATCCGGTAATTAAATAACACTGCAAGTAAAGTAAACACAAATCTAATAATTGAAATCTTTTGAATACAGTAATACATAGCTAGAAGGACGGAAGTTGACAAGGGATGTACCGCCATGGCCTATAAACCATGGACATTGAACACATCATGTTTCTTAACACTAACCCACACTTAGCGATCCTATCATATTCATTGACATGCACTGTAGCTTAGAGAAAAGTGATACTTTTATTACCAGTGGAAATTAGACATTGTCGCCTCGCTATGTGATTTCCCTATTTCATCATAGTATAGTCAAACTCGCACATATGGACAAAGTTATATGGCATAATTATTGTGAAGACTGAAAAGCAGATGCCCTAATACTAATATATTGAAATTATTGTAAATTAATTATGTAACCTTATAGTATAGTCCTATATGACTAAAGCTTATGTAGAGACTAAACCTTTCTTTCCCCTATAGTTATATATAAAAAAATACCAGGCACATTTGGGAAGAAAAAAAAAATTCACATTTCAACCTTGAAGTTGAAGCAAATCAGATGTCACTCATGAGTTGGGCAAAATAAATGCTTTGTAGCCACTGCTGCCTGAAAATAAATTTGTATCCTAACATATCCTTCCATCTGTCCAGAGCTACATTTCCCGGTTCTATTGTTAGTTTCAACCTCTTGGCAGTTCCATGCTTTTTATAGCCAGACTTGGACTCATCGCTAAGTGTTGCACTTTCTTTTATTCCATGGGTTACAACTTTTAATTTGGATTTTTTTCTTTCAACTTTATGCCTTTGATTACAGTAAATTTATTGACCTAGGCTTATCTAATATTAAATTAGGCCTATTAGTTTTGCTTCAATATCTTGCACTTTCTTTTATTCCATGGGTTACAACTTTTAATTTGGATTTTTTTCTTTCAACTTTATGCCTTTGATTACAGTAAATTTATTGACCTAGGCTTATCTAATATTAAATTAGGCCTATTAGTTTTGTGTTGTAATCCACAGTCCCAGCTCCGCACCAGCTGATTTGTGCTGGTGACGACCGTTCTAACCTGTGGACATTAATTTGTCTGTCTCGCTATGTGACTAGTCTTTTTATAGACTAAATCACACGTAAAGACAGGCACACTTATCGTTTACTATGTTGATAACCAGTACTCAGTTAATTGTCTGACTAATCCCTATCTTTAACTTACTTTGACATACATTTGCTAGCACACTTACTGATGTTAATTTGTTAATTTTGTTTGTCTATGAAGTTAATCATATAGCTCCCAGCTGTTAAATAAAACTTGCATTTCTCTATGATTCATAGACACCAAGGGTTGATGCACTGCATGATTGTTATGAAATTTAATTTTCTGCAGACCTGTTTATTCGGGGGTTTGTGTCAGAGTAGTTTTCAGCTCTCAAAAATGTAGTTTCAAGCTCCAAAGAGAAGTTTTGGCGGGGGTGGGGTTTTAAAATCAAAATACAAGTTTTGTCAGCAAATCCCCTTGGCAGCATTGCTGCCTATAAAATGTAGCATAATGAAATGTACGAGTTATTGTTATTCACTGTGATAAATATATATAAATGTCTTTCATCTACTTTGAATGAAAAGTGACTTTTATTGAATATGCAATGCAAAAAGTTATTGTATACATTATACCGTTACTTTTTATTTATTTGCTATTACAATGCAATATTGTACTAATTTAGATGCAAATGGCTATTCTGAGAGTACTATATTGGGAGTCCCAGTGTAACCAGGTCTCTTGGTGAGTGTTGCAATCCACAGTCCCAGCTCCGCACCAGCTGGTTTGTGCTTGTGTCGACCGTTCTAACCTGTGGACATTAATTTGTCTGTCTCGCTATGTGACTAGTCTTTTTATAGACTTAATCACACGTAAAGTCAGGTACAATTTATTGTTCAGCATGTTGGTTACTAGTACCGGTACTGTAGTATTGTATCAAGTAAATAGATCACCGAGTAAGGACATTAGGTTGTGGCATGTAATTGTCTGACTTTATTTAACTGACTGACATAAATTTACTAGCACACTTACTGATGTTTATTTCTTAATTTTGTTGTCTATGATGTTAATCATATAGCTCCCAGCTGTTAAATAAAACTTGCATTTCTCCCTGATAAAGGCACCAAGTGCTGATGCACCCCATCATTATAAGAAGCCTTTTTTTTTTTTCTTTTATGTTGACCAACGTACATTTGATGTGCTTTTTAAAAAAAATCAACGCTAAGAGACAAACTTCATTTTTTGTTGCAATCCACAGTCCCAGCTCCGCACCAGCTAGTTTGTGCTGGTGACGACCGTTCTAAACTGTGGACACTAACTAGGCTTTATGTCTTTGTCTGTCTCGCTATGTGACTAGTCTTTTCATAGACTAAATCACACGTACAGACAGGTACATTTCATTGTTCAGTATGTTGTTTACCAGTACTGTATTAAGCAAATAGATAAATGATCAAAACATCAGAGTTGTGACTTGTAGATGTCTGACTTATCACTGTCTTTAACTCGGTGTGATGCACATTTACTAGCAGTGAGCACACTTAGCTTTGTTAATTTTGTTGTCTATGAAGTTATTAATTAAAAATCACAATTCTCTCTGATATAGACATCAAGGGTTGACTGTGCATCAATGTTTTGAAATTTGTTTGCATCAGCGTTATTGCTATATGGATCTCCAATAGGCATCAGCTTCTGCTGAACTTTAATACAAAAGTGTTGTTTTTACTAACATACACAACTCATAGTGGAGCATAAATGATGCCTTCCATCTTTATCTGGCCTGATCTACCTTTTGCAGATCATTCTGCGACTTCCTTGGTGTCTGTACCTTATGTAAATGAGGACCAAGGTTTAGATCTGCCTCTTTTTTTATGTTTGCCCTGGGTACTACTATACGTTGAATAGTGTTAAGTGCTTTTTTTTTTTTTTTTTTCAATTTTGTTCCTTTGCCTTAATTAAATCTTGATGTACTTTTTTTTTTTAATAACTTATAGACAATCTTTTTCATTTTGAAGTTTTTTGCTACAATCTCCAGTCCCAGCTCCTCACCAGCTGATGCCTCTTTTTTTATGTTTGCCCTGGGTACTACTATACGTTGAATAGTGTTAAGTGCTTTTTTTTTTTTTTTTTTCAATTATGTTCCTTTGCCTTAATTAAATCTTGATGTACTTTTTTTTATCAATAACTGATAGACAATCTTTTTCATTTTGAAGTTTTGTGCTACAATCCACAGTCCCAGCTCCGCACCAGCTGGTTTGTGCTGGTGACGACCGTTCTAACCTGTGGACATTAATTAGGCTTTATGTCTTTGTCTGTCTCGCTATGTGACTAGTCTTTGCATAGTCTAAATCACACGTAAAGACAGATACATTTTATTTTTCAGTTATGCGTTGACCAGTTTGATTCGAGCTGAAATTTTATTATTATAACATTACACTGGCTGCATTGGATTTTTTGGGGTATTTGAGGGTTAATTCTTTGTACCTGTCTCGCATGCTTTTTTCAGTATCATTCTTATAAGTAACCCTAAAGTTTGTAGTTTTTTTGTGGTAACGTTTGTTTGGCTTTGTGATATTGTAACTTTTTAAACTATTATTGGAAGATTTTTCTGCATATGTTTATTATATGCATGAGATCTTTTTCTAAAGATGGGTGTTGCAATCCACAGTCCCAGCTCCGCACCAGCTTGTTTGTGCTGGCGACGACCGTTCTAACCTGTGGACATTAACTTGGCTGTCTAGCTATGTGGTTTTTCTCTTCATTGACTGAATCACACGTAAATACAGTGACAAAATTAACTAATACGCCTGTCAGCATTTCTTTTGCATTAAATATGTTTTCCATTCTTTACTCAAACAAATCTATTTATCACAGACTGTGAAGCGAAGAAATAACGGACGCAACAAGAAGGGCCGTGGCCATGTCAAATATGTTCGATGCACCAACTGTGCCAGATGTGTCCCAAAAGATAAGGCCATCAAAAAGTTTGTGATCAGGAATATTGTTGAGGCTGCAGCTGTACGAGATATTTCTGATGCTAGTGTTTATGAAAGTGAGTTTTCATATTATGTACCGTACATATTCATGTGCTTGTCACAACTGCTCAATACTATGCACATGTTACTGTAAGTTTTAGTTTTAAAAAATTTAATGTATTTGTGTACGGTATATTATTGTCCTTCTGTGTATTTTAAAACACTTAAATATTTTTAATTACAGTGTATGCTCTCCCCAAGTTGTACGCCAAGCTTCTATACTGTGTGTCATGTGCTATCCACTCAAAAGTTGTCAGAAACAGGTCCAGAGAAGCCAGAAAAGACAGGACCCCTCCTATTAGGTTTAGGCCCATGCGTGTAAGTATTGGAATTGTTTGTACATAAAAATGTACCGCCTAAAACAATGCACAAAATAAAGCTTATTGAAATAACTATTTGTTGTAACCTCTGGAGCTGACACTTACTGCATTTGGCATTAAAATCAATTGAAAAGTGACACCACAAAGGACTTACCTGGTAGTAATATTTGTGCTTTGATCAGTAAAAACAAAAGAAATAGGTGATATGTATTTGCCTTGTTATAAATATTATAAATCTGGGAGTTAAAAGAAATTGTTTCCTTTTTTTTTTTTTTTAACCTGAATTGGCTCTAATCAGGTAAAAACAATATGTCAATATTGTCAAGCACTCTTCTGTATTTAGATATTGATGATGGCTATTAATTTGCTTTTGATCTGTTTAAAATGATAAGGAACATCAATGTTGGCATTTTGTTTTTTTTATTGTACTGGGTACCAGGTAAAGAGTTTGCCATTAATCTTTTTTTTTTCTTTCTTTAGGAGGGTCAAGGTGGTCCAAGGCCTGGTGGACAGGCACCTGGTGCAGGTCGAAACCAATAAATATGTGCCCCAAATCTAATAAATATTTGCTCTATCTGCCAACATGTTAGTGCAAAGTGTAATAAATCTTAAAAAGTATTGACTCTTATTTGTGTGATTATTTTGTGCGAAAGAAGCAGGATTTGTGTGGCAACATCACATCCCTGTAAATATCCTATACTTTGAAATTTTATTTGGAAAAGGATGAATGTATAGTTGCAAGTACTGGGTACTGGTGTGTAAACTTAAGTTGATTCTGTTATGATTTTTATTAAATAGTATAACCATACATTCCCACTATAAAGATTTATTATCTGCTAAATATTAAATGACTTAACTATGGGGTAGTTTAATTTCGGGTGCCATTACTTAATACAAATTATTAAAGTTAGTGGCCATACATACGTACGTGCACACAAAGTCGTAGAGTGTTAATTGGGGAAATTTGGCATGTGTGGGGTGTGGGCAAAATTCGTGTGCAAATTAGTGCATAGTCCAGAAGCGCTTAATTTAATACTGGGGTAGTCCCTTCAAAGTCTGCCCTTGCGGCTCTCTCATTTGTTATACCAACAGCCCTGGCGAGCTATCACGTTCCTCCTACGGGTTTGGTATCCCAGAGGGATTAGAGCAGAGTTGAACAGACACTACACCTTGATCTTACCCTAAAGGCCCAAAAGTGATCAGATTTTTTTTGCTTGGCTTTTTCAGTCAATATAGATAGCACAGGCTGAATACTCGAGTACCGTTAATATTTAGTGATTTAGCCTACTTTCCGTGGTTGTGATATAATTATTTACGGTACATGGTAGCCAGTTGTTAAACTGAACCAAAGATTGTCAATGATCAATATTGACATCACCATTGTAAAAGTCTGATAAAACGGTACTTCCCAAATTGCGAAAAGGAGAGAAAACATGTAACATCATTAGAACAGTTCACCTTACGCCAGGGTGCTCATTAGCGGCCTACCACGTCAATTATTGCGGTTGCCTGATTTATTTTAATTATATTTATATTATAAATAAACCTACTTTTTTTTAACTTGCTTATTTTTGATCTACATCTAAATTCAGCTGAGAAAGAAATCTATTATGAAAAGATAAAATATCACATTAGTTTTATTCTTTAAATTTAAAAGAAAATGTTAATACAAAGTTATGGAACAAAGCCAAATGGCCGAAAAATAACATTCACTGAAAGTGAAAGATCATCTTCCCTCTCACTAGTCTCACCTATCTCTTCAATCAAATGAATCAAAATGTAGAATTCAATACCGGTACCAGTATGTCTACCCTTTGTTCTGTATTACGGTACCTATATTTCCAAAACTCAGATGGAAATTGCAAATCCACTGAGTGTTACTTATTGAAATGAGAAAATAAATCTAATGAGTAGGCTAAGCAAATTCTGTGTTGTTTTTGCGCGCCGCACCAAGAAAGACGCATTCCTAGAGCGACGCGATGCACATTCTTGCGCGGTAATCAGAGGGCTACAACTAGCACTAGCAGCAAGAAAAACCTTGACACATTTTTATTGTGACGTCATAATTGTTTATGACTATTATTATGATTGAATGATATTTTATATATGTATATATATATATATTGTGGGGGAGCAGGGACGTCATTTGGGTAGGGCAGGGGGGATCCCCCCCCCTGAATTTGCAGTTTTTATTTAAATTGCTATGTAGCATACTGTGACACCTCTATTAATAGACAACTTGACAAGTCAATCAAGTTTTGCCCCCACCTCTTGAAAAACCTGAAATGACGCCCCTGGGGGTTAACTCATTAAAATGTGTAGGCTACATACATAAGGCTTGTGATAAGCTAAGGGGTACAATACGTGGAGTTGGAGAAGGGGGGGGGTTAATTTTTTTCTTTTTTTTTTTATGTGAATGAACAGTATGGATAAAATGGATTGTCCGCGAAGTAATGAAATAATCTTTTTTAATTATCATTTTCACCCGAACCCCCTGTCTTTTTTTCTTTCGGCTCGCACAAAGTATTACGGCCCGCCTTTCATTTTGAGTTGTACAGGCCTGATTTATATAGGACTATTATTAATTTTTTTCAACGCAGAGTTTATATTACTACGTTTAAAGGTATGGTACCGGTATTGAATATTGAAGTTAGTGTTTGTTAATCGCTCCTGACACTGTTACATGAAAAATTGAAAGTGAGAACGAAATTCTTTTCTCACTGTGTGAAAAAAATCTCTGTCTGATGTTTATTTTTTAAATCTTCTATATGACATTAAAAAAAGTATTCAATCTTTCTTTAAAATGTGTTGTTGTTTTTTTAATAAAAAAAATAGTGTCTCCTGACACAATCTTCCAAGACTCACAGGCAGTGGGTTCGGGTTAGACAAGGGGTGTTTTTTTTTTTTTTTGGTTGGTGTTTCTAAAAAAAAAAAAAAAATGTGAACTGAGTGCATTCGTTTTCCTCTCCGCTTCGTGATGGTCCCAGCTTGACCTTTGCTCTCAGTTGCCGAATCACCGGAAGAGTCTCATATTTCAATCTAGGAAACGGAGTGCACCCCTCTCGCAAAGGTCAAGCTGGGACCATCTCGAAGCGGAGAGGAAAACGAATGCACTCAGTTCACACCCTAAAAAAGAAAAAAAAATTAAAAAGAAAGAAACGGGAAAAGAGCGTTGACTCTATTATTAGTATTATCCTACCATTTTTATCTGTAAACCCACATGAGCCAAATTTGTACCCAATTATTTATTAAATGTAGTTTCAGCAAAGATCCATTAATTAATATGTTAATTTTTATCATGAAGGCCTACTTAGGCCTAAAAAAATGTACTAAAAATACATGTCAAAATAGTCACACCATATTACAAGTTACGGTACTTGTGCCTCTAGCTAGTCTTATTCTTCTTCTTTATATTAAGGGCCCACGATCAATTTATTGATCATTTTGGCTCCTATGCACGTAGAGGGGGTTTGCAATGTTTCTGTGCCTGGTATTGATGAGGACATTTCACTGATTTCCAGTGCCACTATGTGAGGGAATCATGCACTGGGGGGTTTGAAGGCTTGAGGCAATAGACACAAATGAGTCTAGTGTTGTCGCCTCAGCTGATCCTTTTGAAAGCTTGTTTCAGTCCCTGATTGTCTTGGGCAGGAATCATCATGAATGAGCAGCTCCTATACTGGCTTCTTGCTGGTATGAGCCTGAATTGCCTGCCATGGCCTCGTCGCTGTCTATGGGGGAGAGGGACGAGTTTCTGTTTAATACTGAAACAGTGGACCAGCCCATGATTTATCTTGTACACAATGGAGAGCCTGGATTGTCGTCGTCGTTCCTCCAATGGTGACCAGCCTAGTATTAATTATGGATACTTTAAACAAATCATATAGTTTAATTATTAATTTCATATTTTTTAATTAATCTTATTTTAATATTTATATAAAGTTTCAAAATGTTAAATAAAATGGGAGATCTTGTAAAGAGCGCTCGGTGGAAAAAAAGAAGGGATCTTTGTGTTTTTTGTTACTTGGATTTTTAGCCATAGAAACAGATGATTCAAGCTTATATGGTATTGTTGTAAAATACATTTCTAACCTGATTTTGTTTTGGAAAATCATTCGTTTTTTTCATTGGAAATATTGTGTTTTTTAAAAAGTTGTATAAGGCATTCAAATAAACCGATTAAATAATATTACTTTACATAGAGGCACTAAATACATTTCCGGTAGCTCTAACCAATCAGATCATTCAACACTTATCTTTAGCGCGAATTTTTCAGAAAGAAAGGAGTGTTCAATATTTGCTTACGACAGCTGTAAAGACTGTTGAGTAGGCGCGCGCTACTGCTTGATAAGCAGTAAAATAATTTTTCCGATATACTGTACTAGTAAAAAAAGGTAAGATGAAATTTTACATATCATACAATTCACGCACAAAAATTATTAGACGAAATTTACCGAGAGTGAGAGTCTACTCCAATTAATTGGCAAATTGAAAGGGACAAGATGATCCTACCTACTATATTAATATTGAATGGCACTCGGGCGCTCACAGCTGTTTTTAAGCCTACCTACTAAAATTACTAATACTACAATTTCGTTCATTCTAAATGAACTTCGGCTAACTAGGTTATGTAGTTCGTAGTAGAGCTTTCATAGTATACTAACAGCTAGCAATAACAAAGGAGTAACTCAAACTGAAGTAAATATGAATAGGTCTAATTACTAATTTTACTCATTGGAATATCAATATCATATTATAAAATATTATTAGTTTGTCTGTAAAATAAAGAATAAAGCTAAAGTTACTAGTAGTAGTAGTTTAGATACTTTTACTTGTCACATTATTCATTATACACACTCATTTTGGTAAAACTCTGATAGGACATGACATTACATACTTAGATAGACGGCACCCACTACCTTACCGGAAATACTTTAGCAGACAACAGGGCGTTTCTACGTTAAAAGAAATTTAAATCAGTTAAATCCACAATGGCAAGAAGACCACGAGCGTCAACGATTATTGTACCTACAAACAAAATATTGAGTAAAAATGACATGTTAAATGAAGTGTGGCAATTGTGGGTTTACCACACTTGCAACAACCTGATTCAGCATTAAAGTGATCTGCCTGCCACAATTTAATTCGCAACTCAGTATCATGCAGAATATGCAATCAGCCGTGCACATTGAATCGGTACCAGCAGGGAATTGATGGGCATGCCATCGTTGTGGTACCGCCTATCTGTGTGACACAATTCTTTCTTTTCACACAGTTATCATTAACAACAAACTGTCACCATTGTGTATTGTTGGTCGTATGATATGCCACAGATGCAGATACAGCAGCACGAGGCAGCTGTTGCCGAAAAATTTGTAATTGATTGGTGCAACTACATGCGAGTTGAGTGTGGAACTTGGCTGGAATGTAATGCGACCGCAATTTGTGGAATAGACGTAAATGGAGAACATATAAGTAGAGATAGATGAAACAAAATATTTCCACAAGAAATATCATCGTGGTCAGTGGTGGGATGGCCACTGGGCCTTCGATGGGATCAAGTGCTTCTTGTTGGAAGTGCCGGACAGGCGCGCAGACATGCTACAAGGCTGAATAGAAGCTCACATCTTGCCAGGGACACAACATTTCCGATGTCTGGGCTGCATACGCACACATAGATCAAATCAGATACAGATTATATGAGCATTCTGTTGTTCATGAACATGATTTCGTGGATCTGATAACAGCGAAGTGCATACCCAAAACATTGAAAATATGCGGATGAGAGCGAAGCGGAAGTTGAGAAGACAATTTGGAACTAGTTCTGCATTGTTTTGGTCATATCTACAAGAATTTGCCTATCGTAACCAGTTTCATGGGACAAACATATTTCCGAACTTCCTGATTACGCTTGTCTATAACTATCCGTGATTAGACAAGACAGTCTTTTGAGGTTCAGAGTAGAATGGTGCTTTAAATAAACTTGAAACTGTTAACTACAGCTTTGTTGGGTGTATTTTCATGTTATTAAAGCTGTTCTGGGTCTATTTAATGTTATTATCGATGCTATATCAGAATTTTAACCAGGTTATTAAAAACCTATTTTCAACCAGCCTACCCCCATGAAAATGATATTTTTATTTCAGACACACATAGGTCTACATCAAGATTTGAACTTGACCCAGTAGCTACAACAGATAAGAAGCATTTTTATCTTTGACTTTTACAAAATGGAGCATTCCATTAAATCATCTTTCACTGTACGGAAAAGTTCACGATTAATAGGGAGAAAAAACAAGACTACCAAGAGCATTACAGGAGTAACAAAAAATATCAATGATGTTTTAGGTTCTCCACATATCTTAAGTGAAAGTGGAATGGGTGAGCATTTAAAATTTAATTAACTTAGGGCTACTACTTAAGGTATGTGAAATATTTGGATTCTTAAATATTTTTTTAGATCTCATCTTATAACTCATGTTAGTTATGATAAAATTAGTGAAAACATGGTTATACATAGAAAATAGGACTAAATCTAAATTATTGGTGCATAGACTTAGTATTATTGATCATTAACCAGATTTTACATTTTTTAAACGTATATATCCTGCTTCAAACCTAATTATAGTTGTTACATAACGGATTATTAATAACACATAATTACCCTTGGCCTTTAGTTGGCTATCCTAGCCAGAACTCCACATGCATATTAAATGATATTCTGATTTTTTCTCATCTTTACCATAATTCCATATTTTAGGAAATATTACTTCATATGCAATAAATATGTACCATTCATTTATATGAAATAAATCTTGCATGTTCATGTACCAGTAAAGAAAAATTAAATTTTGTTAGTAAAAGTAATACTATAGACCAAATTTTTCACAAGTTAAAATTGACATCTTTGAATTACTTTCTCTTTTAAGGAAAAGCCACAAAGTCTCCCGATGGCTCAAACAGCTTTATTTCTGACTTGAAAAAAATGTTGAACAAATCAGCAGAGAAACAAGAAGATATAATGAATAGCAAAACATCTGATGTGCAATACCCCAGACAATGTAAGACAACAAATTTTATATGAATTCATCAAATTAAAAAAGTTAAAGTGTAATATTTTATATAGCAGAAAATACATGGATAAATAAGAACACTGTTTTAGACTTAACTGAGGCACTGTTTGGGGTAGAGAATGGAAACACAGACCTGTTTACTCTAACGATTTTGGCGTACAATGTACGATTTTAAGGTGTATACATGTTTATGCTGTAGGTTTATTATTTTACAATTAAGATAGTGTTTTTAACGATTTTGTGATGATATTGTACGATTTGAAGAGTTTGAGGGTAAACAGGTCTGGAAACATCTCACAATGACCATATAATAAGTAATTTGTTAATGAATGTTAGTTTTTCCGCACTTAAAATTTTTTTTTTTTTCTGGAGTTAGAATGAACATTGTTAGTTATGGTGTCATTTGACATTACTATAATGTTCTTTACAGTTAGGAACAGAGATAAAACTCCAGACAGAACTGCATCATTCACATCCCTTCACAATGAAAGCTATGCTCAATCCGTATCCCCTTCAATTTCATCTTCCACCCAGTCTCCATCATCTCCTAAACGTGATTCAAGTGAGTCATTGGATGGTGAGTTGTTTTTTTGTGTAAAATACAAATAAAAATTTGACTGATAAAAATCAATAAAAATTTCTGTATATAATTTTGAAAAACATTTCTGTTTTAAGATTGTGGTAATGTCTTCTGTTAAATTAATGATGATTATTTATTTTACATTTTTTATGTTGTTTTTTTCTCATATAGGCAATTAGCACAGATTTGGTGTTGATGCTAGTAATATAATTTATATTAAACTTTGTTGCATTTGGTTAGATTTCAATAGAGTCAGACGCTCACTTCTTTCACCAACTAAAAGAAAGTCCGACAATGAAAATGAGAATGCTTACTGCAGCCTCTCTCCATTGAAAACACCTCGAGCCTCAAGAAGAGAGAAGTCACCCAGATCTCCTTTCTCTAGAACTCCTTCCACACCATTTAGTCTCAAATCACCAGAAACTCCAAAATCTTCCAAGATGGCACCTATGGGTTAGTCATGGCTGCACAAATATTTTCTCCTTTTTAAACATATCTATATATATATAACTATGAAAAGGATGTATATAAAAGAATTTTACTGTTTTTTTAATGTCTTTTTTGGGTGGACCATTTTTTAAAATGGTAGTATTTATGATTATTTGGAATTGATATCTGCTGATTCCATATTAAAAAAAAGTAAATCAAAAGATCTTTAAATGTTAAATCAAATGCTGCCTCTTAGAAAAATTTAACATTGGCTAAGTACCCGTCAGTAAGCTATAATTTTTTTAGTCAAGTGAATTCCTTCAAAATAAAATTTATTCTGCTGAGCCTAAGGCATGAGATCATTTCTGGAAAGCTCTCCATTTTTAATGCATCAGAAATTTATTTTTATCTAAATGAAATTGCTAAGATTGTGTTTTATTTTTAGAGTGTCTGTTTCACAATGTTATATATATATATATATATATATATATATATATATATATATATATATATATATTTTTTTTTTTTTTTATTTTTTTATAAAAAAAAAAATATATATATATATATTATATATATATATATATATATATATATATATAATTTTTTTTCCTGGTCCATTCTGATGACAATAAAAGTTATCTATAAATGCAATATATTTGATCTGTTAAGTTAACATACAAATTGGAATAAACATCTAAAATTGTGTGTTTCCATAGAATGTAGATCAACACCAAGACGGCTGTTTGGTTCTCCTGACAAAAAATCCAAGGAAAGTCTGCTAACTAAAACTTTGAGACAGATTCCAAACTCAGTACTAACTCCTGAGAAAAGTCCTGCAAGTAAATTGAGGCCCTTGCAACTTTATAAACCAGATGGTAAGCATTAATATTCAAAAGCTTAGTTATGAAGGACAATTAAAACTAGTTTCTTCCTGCATTGTATTGTAACAAATTCATTTGTAAAGGAGTATTCCGATCTAATTTTAGATTTGGTTTTCAAAATTATTAATTTTTTTTTACATGGAGTGGATTATATAAAACAGATTTATTTACAAGGCAAAGCACAGACACCTGGAGGGGGGGGGGGTCGTGTAATAATGAATAAAAAAAATAGAAGGAATTCTTTAGGATGTGCTGGACTCCTGCAATAATATTCTTAGTCAAAATGCATACAAAACATTGATTTTACTTGGTATTTTTTTTACATTTTACATTTATTTATTTTACAGTGATTACTTATCAGTCTGCCAAACAGTGCCTTCACACAGCAAAACCCGATCACTTAATTGGTCGTGATGCTGAGGAGGCAGAAATCAGGGCATTCATCTGTGATAAATTACAGAACAAAAAAAGCGGAAGTTTATACATCTCAGGGGCTCCAGGTACAGGGAAAACGGCAGTTGTGAATCACATTCTCAACAAAATGAAGGTAATCTTGTTAGCATTTTAACAACAAATTTTAAGATAAAATGAAAAATGTCTAGGCATGTTGTAGTTGTGGATACATTATTAAAACTACATCAATATACTACTGTAGCTAATATCTTTTTTTATTATTTTTTAAATTTATTTGATAGCATCGTAATTTCGTTACTAAATTTTATTAAAATTCCAATAGGCTCAACATAAAAGTATAAAAACTGCTTTCATCAACTGCATGATGCTGAAAGACTCAAATGCTGTGTTTAGGCAGTTACATGAACAACTTATTGGAGTTCCTATCAAAGCCAAGGATTCAATGAAGGCAATGGAAAAATTATTCATGTCATGTCATGAGCCAATGTAAGTGGATGAGCATAGAATGCACTGAAATCTGAAATAAATAAACTTTAATTCTATGTAGTTTATGCAGATCAAGTTACTCCTACATGGATCATCATATTGTTTATTTGTGTTTATAAAATAAACTTCTAAGATACAACAGTTATATTTAGCGACTGCATGTTGCAACATAAACGTTAGTCATCTATTTATTGTATACAGCATAAGTGTTGGGATTTTTTTATTTATGATAGGTGATTGTGTAGCATGTTAAAAATGCTCAAGTTAGAAGAAGTGAATTTATGTATCTCTTATATTTGAAATTGTTAAAATATTTAATCTTCTTATAATTTTTAATAAATAGTGGTACAATATTTGTTTAGACTTGAAAAAAAAAGACAGAAAAATGAAAAGGATGTTTTGTCTATATGCCTTCTTCAGCAGACAATACAAAGCAAGAAAAACATAGTTCGAAATTGAACAAGCCACATAAATCAAGGACACTTTAAAAACCATTGGAGTCTCTTTTTTTTTTAAGCCTAAACTTACCTTGTTGAACTATTTATTTACTTCACGTGGCTTGAACATGAATTTCCAAATGTTAACTTCAGTTTTATTTGACTCTTCAGACTTTTAGTACTTGATGAGATCGACCAGTTGGATAGCAAACATCACCATATCCTATACCAGATTTTTGAATGGCCAGCATTAGAGAATTCTAAATTAATACTCATAGGTAAAAATTTTTATTATAAGTTTTTAACCTCGAATGATCATTTTTTGGCAAACAGAATTTTAGAAATCTTATTTTAAATTGAATATTGCTCAAAGTCGCTTAAATTTTGTACATTATTCTGTAGGTATCGCCAATGCCCTTGATTTAACGGATCGCATTTTGCCACGTCTACAAGCTTCAACAGTCTGTAGGCCTATGTTAATGAATTTTCCTCCCTATTCTTCGGCACAGATATCAGACATTCTAAAGCACAGGCTACAAGATGTAAGAGCTTACTAGTGTTTATTAGTGTTTCTGCTCTAAATCAAGCTGTCTAAAATTTATGATCATTGGATGCATAGTTTATATAAAAGTCTTTGTTGTGTGTAAGATAAATGAATGCTGTATTATAGCCAATTTGAAGCTATTTTAAATAAGTTTGTTTAAAAAAAAAAAAAAAAAATTTCTTTCAGAGTGAAATCATAGAACCAAGGGAAAATTTGAAGCTATTTTAAATAAGTTTGTTTAAAAAAAAAAAAAAAAAAAAATTTCTTTCAGAGTGAAATCATAGAACCAAGTGCAATAAACTTTTGTGCTCGCAAAGTATCAGCAGTAGCAGGTGATATGAGGAAAGCTTTAGACGTTTGTCGTCGTGCTGTGGAGATGGTTGAGTCAGATGTGTGTTGTCAGCAGGTCTTAAAGCCTGCAGGTGCGTTCTCAAAATTCTAATATTTTGTTATATTTTTTTCCATCAGTTTTCTTCTCGTGAATATTGTAAGTGGGAAGCATAAATTCAAACAGTGGTGGATTTGGTAAAATGCTACATAGTGTTAAAGAAAAGAAACCCTTTATATAATTGTGCATGAATTATAAATTTATTAAGAAGCGGTTATCTCACTGGTTAAATTTCTGGCGAAAACATGTTTCACGTTTCCTTCATTTTCCCCTTGGAAAAGACATTCTATTTTTTATGCAATGGCTTTTGTTGAGATAGCAAGGTCATTAAAAAAGCCTGTTTATATGGGTTAAACTGTTCTACCTTTTTTTGAATCTTCGGCACCATGTATATAGAAAATATAGAAAAGGATTTAAAAATAACTATTTAACAGTCTGAAAACAAGTTATGATTGTTTGAGTTAAATCCAATTACGTTTATGCTGCTCGGCATTAGAACAATATGGTGTTTATTAACTCATTCCCTCCTGCAATGCTACCGGTACTTCCGTATTTAATTTATTTGCCAGAGAAAGGGAAATAACTCCATCTTGGAATTGATTTACATTTGTAAATTATTTATTTAAGCTGCTAAATATTATTTAATGTTAACGAATTAAGAACAAATGCAACAAAAAATGTTTAAGGTTTAATATAAATATAACATTAGCGGGGAAAAAAATTACGAACAATGACCAAAAAATCGATTTTCGGCACCTCGGGCGAACACATGCTAAGTATAGACGCGCCGTACTAAAGCACGCATAGTTTTAAAGTGAAACAAGATAAAAACTTCCGGTTTTTAAATTAAAAAAATCACGCTGAACCACGCCATCACATGAAGTCTCGAAGGATGCGAGATTTCATTGCTATTTTTAAATAGGTAAGAGAGAGGTGTGTCGCTATGCGCTGGGACGCATTTGGACGCATCCGGCGAAACCCGTAAAGGACGCATTTAGTCGCAAACGTCGGGAATGAGTTAATAGATTATTTCACGAATTAAGCAGTTGTTTAGTTTGACCGTATCTAATTTAAAAAGTTCAATAGTGGGGAGAACGAATTAAGCTATTTACCAGATATTGTATTGTTTGTTCCAAATGTCATTTTTGTTAAAATATAATCCTCTTTTCATAGTTTTATTCAGCTTAGTTTAAGTGCCATAGTATTGATTTATTATTTAAGTAATATTTTAAAATGGCTCCATTTTTGCTACTACTAGTAATTAAAACCTTCCATCTGCAGATTGTAACAGTCCTACAAAAAGAAACCAACCAGCCATGATGAAAAAAGTTACTATAGCTCACATATCTCAAATCATGTCCAACGTTTATGGTTCAAGTGTCACTGCTGCAAACAGCAGTGAAAATGATGTTCCCTTACAACAGAAGCTTGCAGTTTGCTCATTGCTTGTTATGGTGAAAAATGGGAAAGTCAAGGAAGTGGCATTGGGAAAGGTAAGTTTTTAAATACACATTTCAGCTAATAAACATTCAGCAAATAAACATAATTCCTGTCAACTTTCTATCTGAAACTAATGGTAAGAGATGTTACCCTTGGAACAGTGTTGCATTTTCAGAATTTTGATGCAAGTGTTAAGTCTCCAAATATTTTTTTCTTCAAAAATTTGCAAAACATTTCTTTTAAAATCTTAGCTCCATGAGGTGTATGTTAAAGTGTGCAGGCGGCAACAAATGGCTCCAGTAGATCAGAGCGAGTTTCATTCAGTGTTGTCACTGCTAGATGCCAGAGGGGTGATTGCCTTAAAAAAGGCAAAAGATACACGCATGACCAAGGTAATTATTAAAATGGTTATCGTGGTTTGTTTTTCAAAGGACATATTTGATTACTGAACATCAATATTCTGTGTAGGGATAATTAAAAAACACCAGTTAGAAGAATCATTTAACATAATTTTAATGATTGTTCACATTTTACAACTGGAAATAAACATTATTTCAGGTTTCCTTGAAGCTGGATGAACAAGAACTGGAACAGACGCTCAAAGACAAATCATTGATGGCAGCCATTATCAGTGATGGCGTACCCAAGTAATAGTTACTGTCAAGTTATTGTGGTTGTTTCTATTTATTTCGTCTTTCATGCATCATCTAATTCCAAAGCTACTTGCTTACACATTTTTAACACAATTGGAAATAGACATTCTGAGGAATTTTTTAAAATGCAGATGTTTTACAAGTTGGTTTTATTGAATAAAATTGTACAAATTTTACACTGCTTGATTTGGGATTGTTTTTTCCAAAGTAGAATTTACAACTGTTTCAAACATTTCAGCATGACTTCTTTTAGCTTGAGTCGAATTTCTTCACTGTCACAAATAATGTGTGTTGAATTTCCATCTACTTGAATCAAGGAGTCCTCTTTTACCTGTGTAAAGATATATTGAGTTGAGTGCTTAGTATCATTGGAAAAAAAAATATTTGCAGTTTTCAAAACTAAAGATTTCTTAAACAAAGGTGTTGGTAATGATCTCACCAGATGAATGATTGATCCAGATTCATTCTCTTCAACTTTTAGTGAATTGAAACCATACTGTGGAAGAACGGTTTATCAATATTTATGTTAAAATTAGCTAAACAGGAGGTTGAGTGATGAAGTTTATATGCTTAACTGTTTCACATTAGTTACATTCACACACCTTGAAATATATGTGCCTATATTTCTTTTGAAAGTATCAAGTATATACTGAATAACAAATACTGAGGATGACATGGTAAAACCACATGACTCTTAAAATAGTAACTAATGTATCATTTCAGTGCTGAATTTTTATTACTTAGTACACTAATACTACTTTTCATAACTAATGGATATATGGTGTAACCACCCTCTTGCTTAGATAACAATGACATAATGTGTAGCTAACCTGCTTGAGGGCATCAACAATCTCATGTAAACTAGGAGCTCCAAATATGTAGGGTTTGCGCCACAGCAAGCTGCCATCAGATCTACGCTTCCTGGTCAGGTGAATGTTGGCAGGCAGCTTCTGTAATATGTATTTGTTGTCCTTGGCAACTAGTGCAGCTGTTACCATTGAGACAGCTGAACCTGGCTTCACCTCAATGGGCTCCAATGTATTTGCCAGCTTAAAATAATTACATTAAATTAAACTATTGAAATAGTAAGCAGCTCACTGTTGAAAAAATTAAATTACAAAAAATAAAAGTTTAAGCAATAATTAAAGTTGAAATAAAAAAAAATCCTTACATTATATCCCTTCAGAGAGATCATATTTAATACGTAGAAATAAAAAATCCATTCCACACATAAAATTAGACACTACTCCCAACATCTAAAAACTTGGGCAAATTAAATTTGCTCTCTAAAAATACATTTAATATTTTTACTTTAGTGGTGTTATCAGAAATGTGAAACATTAACACTATTAATCAAGAATGAATTGATGTAAAAAGCCTAATCTATGATGTATATAGTTTAGGCATGCTTATACCTCGGGCTCCATCTCAACTGTCTCAAATTGTCGTTTCACTGGCAGTGACAAAATTTCCCCTTGCTTGTATGTCAAGGGAGATGGGTCCTGATTGAGGGATGAAAATAGTTTAAATGATCACAATAAATATATATCTACAATATTCAGTAAGATTTGAGTACACCATCCTGATCCATTAGCTACTGAGGCATGGACTTTTATAATGATAAGTTTTCAGTTCTGCTTCAGTGGGTCTGAGAACTGCATGTATATGTAATTTTGTAATCTGACAGTTTTAGAAGATCATTCCCAGGCAAGGAAAAAATTGTGTTGTCCCATTTGTATAGGTTTAATATAGTTGGAAGTTTAGTGGATGTGGCTGGAGCGCAAGCAAAAAAACCCTGTTTTTGTCTTTGTTGGTTTATTTATTGAATAATGTTAAAAAGCGAGATAAAAAGTTGGATGATATTATCAATATCTGACAGCAAGAAATCAGCATTTTATATCAAGCTAGTGCCGCATTTCTTCTCTTCGCATGACAAATACAATTTCTGTTAGAAGAATAACATGTCTTTGTAAGGATGATGGCATGGTTGTGAAAAACCATTGAATCAATCACAGCTCTCATCTGAAGATAATTTTTTTTATAATAAACTTGTATTTATTATGGACTTACAAAATCAATGGTTAGGTCATTCCGCAATGGCTCCATCAGTGGAGGTTTGATATACAGTTCTGATACGACAAGGTGCAGTGGTCGCAAATCTCGAATCAGCTTGTTGGCTTGCGAAAAGTTCAAACTTGTGTCTATTGGGCAGTAGCACACCTGAAATAGAGAATGAATAAACAAACTGAATTATAACATCAGATGCCGTGCAGCAAAACAAAAATTAATGAACACAGCTTATCACAAGCAACTTTAAAAAAAATTTTTTTTTAAAGTTTTGTTGTTAGTCCAAACAAAAAAAAACAAACAACAGTCTTACCCTCATAGCAATGGGCAGAAATGGAGCAAGGGCATCAAGGTGTGGGAAGTCTGGCTCTAAAGTGTAAAAAAAAAAAAATAATAATCTGTCCAACAAATGGTGAAATGGCATTCAATTTAAATTTGTTAGGCAATTAATTATGAAGCTTGTTAAATGTTGTCAGTTATGTTTTCCATGATGGGTCTGAGTTCAAATGGAATTATTTTAAATAGAAAATGCGACCATACCTGTAAAAATAATGGTATTAGCAGAGGAGTTCCCCCAGAGTTCAATGAAATGGACAATGTCCCCCATGCGAAGTGAGGGATGACCAGCAAATAATATGCAGGGAGTGTGGAAGTCTGTAGTTAGCCCAGCTGGGAACAGAGGAAGAAGATACAACTTTGCATGATGCAAAAGATTGTTGATAAATAATTTTTTTTTAAACCAAATCGCTCTTAAGATTTATAGGTGGGGACAAAAATCTGAAAATAGATCAGACACACATTGTTATATTCTGCAATATTATTATTATGCAGTCCCCTATCTGGGCATTGCTAATGGTACATAACTCTCTAAATTGACATCTATCGCTGCCCTTCAAATATCTCTTCATGTGCATCTTCCCTGTACACTATTTAAACACCTTCTCCCCATCCTTGGGCCTTCCACACCTCTTGTCCCTTGAACGTTCCACATCTCTTCATGCCAGATGTGTAATTTGCTTTTCTCTAATGTTGCCAGTCCACATGCAGTGCACATCTACTTTGTGTCCTTGTCTTATGCTCTTAGTAGTTTTATCTTTTACAACAGTTGAGTGATCTCCATGTTTTCATACAGCAGTAGTGCTAGTACATCTTGAACCAAACATGTGTCATTTAGATTAATAAAGATTTAATAAAGCATTTCTTTTAAAGCAATTTATACTGATTGGTAGTTCACCTAAATGTAAACTGTAACAATATACTTTTTAAAAAAATGTGAAAATACAATTTTTTTTCAACCATTCTTATGAAGCACTTACTATGAATGCTGGAGAAGTTCTTTAATCTACCTTTACTAAGAAGCTGGAAAGATTGAAAACTAGATTAAGAGAAGATGTGAAACAATTCTCATTATAAAAAAAACATTATCCAAAGTGAAATTTGTAAAATGAAAATATTGGTTTTCTTCAATAAAGCATGGATTTAAATAAAAGTCTGACCCATGGGCATTTAGTGGAGAGTGTATCTGATACCTCATAGAAGAGGGTGGGCAAACTTTTGTAGCTGCAAGCCAGATTCAAGAAGTAGAGAGGCATGGGGGGAGTCATAAATGGTAAAATCGGGGGAGGGGGGTGCACATTTTAACCAAATCATGAGGAATTTATCTTAACATTTTCTTTTTTTCTACAGCCATATTAATGATCATAATAACTATTTTATATGTAAATTAATAAGAACATTATCTATACCAGTATTCTGTAATAATTACAGTCTAACTGACTGTCCCAAAAATAGGATATACTCAGTAAAACACAGAGAAAATTGGGATTTCTCAATAAAAGCGAAACAACCCAAATATAGTGCTAGTAGTGACATCTGCAATCAAAAACTTAAACTACACATCCATAGTTTCCCCACCCGTCTAAGAATAAAACTACACACTCTCTTTGCCTTTTTTAAATCTTAAAATTACAATTTCATTGAAACTGACAATAATTTTTGCTAAATAATTATTGAAATGAATGTCCTTAGTCTGACTTGAATAATAAAGGTTGTTTTTTAAAAAAAAAAGAAATAGAAAATGAAGTACTAACATCTGCATGGGGGAAAGGGCATTCTGGTAGAAACACTTTAGCCTGCTTTCCAGAAGACAACCTGTAAATAACCATACTTTTCTTTTTACAATTTTATTTGATTTTGAACAAACATGGGCATATACAACTAAGTTTACCTTTACCTTTAACAGGCTTGACACTAAAAAGTAAAAACAATTTTAAAAAAAAATGTGACTTTGTTATAAATAAAATTAAATTATCCTCATTAACTCATTCCGTCCTGAAATGATACTTCCGTATTTAATTTATTTGCAGGAGAAAGGGAAGTAACCCGTTTTGAAATTGTTTACATTTTTTAAATATGTATTTAAGCTACTAAATATTATTAAATGTTAACGAATTAAGAACAAATGCATCAAAGAATGAATAAGGTTTAATATAAATATAACATTAGCGGGGAAAAAATAACGAACAATGGCCAAAAAATCTATTTTCGGCACCTCGGACGAACACATGCTACATATAGACGCGCCGTACTAAAGCACTCGTAGTTTTAAAGTGAAACAAGATAAAAACTTCCGGTTTTTAAATTAAAATCACATTGAACCACGCCATCCCCGGAAGTCTCGAGGGATGCGAGATATCATTGCTATTTTTAAATAGATACGAGAGAGGTGTGTCCCTATGCGCCGGGACGCATTTGGACGCATCCGGCGAAATCCGTAAAAGACGCATTTAGTCGCAAACGTCGGGAATGAGTTAATTAAAATTTTCACAACAAAATTTTTTATTAAAGACTGCTCTATTTCTACGCCACTTCCCAGTATTACAAGAATACAAAATACCCACCATTCAGCAAATATATTGGAATATGCCAGTG